AAGGAGGCAAGGGAGTATAAAAAGGAAGAGACGATCGCCGAAGTAGANGTAGCAAGCGACTTTGTAATCAAAGAAACATTGGCATTTACCACGCTCCGCATCCGTGCAAATATTGCCGGGACAATTCCAACATGGTTTAAAACGAGCACATTTTTCCTCTCGCTTTCCCCATCGATCAACGCATCTTAGCTGTAACTAAATAGTAAACGAAATAGATTATTCGGCCGGCACCAGTGGTGTTGTGCTAATTTTTTTTTACCGGAACGCGTATATATAATTATATAGACAGGGCCTATCCTGGGTAGGCGGCCACTCTGTGCGGTCTCATGTCACAAATCTGACGACGACGGGGGGGGGGGGATTTCCCCTAATTTTCGCCCGTCGCCAGGATCGGCCCTGTTCACGGTTCGTTCCGGTTTTTGTTCCGGTTCGGGTTCGGTTCAAACCCTTGTTTATAATAATACGTATAAAAATTCGTCAAAAATTAGAAAAAAAATCAGCAATTCTTTTTAATTTTTTTTCAATACGTCAGCCAATTCTCGTTATCAGAAATCATCTTTAGTACAGGAACGACGTTCCCAAGCGTTCCGGCTCGACAACACCGCTGGCCGGCACTTGACGAAACTTTTTTTAACTTTAAAATAAAACAATTGGTATTGTTTGGATGGGGTTAGCTTTCTAAGGGCTCATATCAGGCAATATCCTGCTGCTAACTATTGCAGAATAAAGCAGCACCACCAAACCTAATTATATTTCGTTTACTTTCTGTAGCGATGTGACTTTCAGTTTGACCGACGCAAAGTAGAAAAGAACAGCATCAGGCCAGAAAAGGAAGGAGACAACTCTCGACCAAATTCTTAACCGGTGAGGAGCGTACAATCCGTACAGTACTGCACGGAAAAANAGTTGCGAGAGGGTCGCTTGGCGCAGGAGAGATCGTTTATCATTAAAACACCTGTTTTCCCTTTTACATTATATATTCAGTACTATATATTATATATTTAGCACAATTACCGTTAACTTAATTTATGCTAAAAGACAACAAACCACTAACAATAAGTATAAACAATTACCAAATTATTAGGTAGAAGACAAGAGTCACTGCGGGAGATTAAGTTTACTAGTCATACCTTTATTTTTCCTTGACTTCCAGGAGGAAACTATCCGCTGCATGGGGATCCGGATTGTTTGTTCTCTGATGATATAAGAAGGGATAAAAAATTGCGAAGAGCAAAAGAACAGTTAATCACCAAAAAGTAAACGAAATTCCTTATTGTAATATTATTACCTTGTATTTATCCATAACATGTTCAAATAAGTATTTTTTTATTTGTATGTAATAAAATTAGATAGAGATTCATATGCGTTTGTATAAAGATAGCCTATTCCATCAAAAAGTATGATAGCAAACAATACGATATATATGTGTCATTCCTAAGATGTCCTGTAAATATCCCGTCCGTATGTTTTTCAAATGTCCGTTGAGTATATTTTATGAATGTATGAAACTGTGACATTCGTCTATCCATACGACATCCTGAAGACGTCCGCCGAACATGAAACGAATCTGTATAAGATATCCTTAAAATCCCAGATGGATGTTTTTATAACATCCTATGGATAAACATGTGCTGTATGGGATCATTTCTTGTTGATCTTGGATAACCCATGAAGGTGTGTTGGTTTGTTATGACGTAGAGTTAGATTTGTTTTTATCCTATTATCGAAGTGTTCTGGTGTTTCTCTAAGATGTTGTATATCTTCCTCTCAATAGTAGTTGTTGACGTATGCAACCTTTTTGCTGTATTCCATGGGATTCATAATGACGGTTCCATTGTCTGCTGGTAGGATAATAACTGATTTGTCCCTTTTGAGATTCCGCACAGCTTCTTCTTGGTTGCAATTGTTTCCTTTTTTCTAGGGTTAGTCGTTCTTTCCATTGAGACTCGTCAGCTTCTGAATGTTACAAGTGAATGACCTCAATAGCAACGATAAAGTCCATTGTAGGTATCTGTTTAGGTGTTAACCCCGCAGCCTCAATGAGACGTTTTGTTAATTAACGTGACGTTACTAGCTATATTTGTGGGTTTAACCACTACCACTACCACTAGTCCACATTCAATTGATCAAGCTGGCAAGAATTTATGTTTGGAGTCCCCGGATCTCCCGCACTACCAGTTAACACCACTAGTGAGATGCTCGGAGCAATAATACCAACTTCTCCCAGTTGAGATTTCTGGCAATTCTCGCTATTGGTTAACCAACTGGGGTACCGTGGGACCGCTCTTTCAGTGCGTGCTAACTTTTGCTTACACTATCAATTTTGTTCACTAAACTCCACTTAGCTCAGCTAGCAGGCTTTACTACTACCACTAGGAGTCTAAGTACAGTTGGTTGAACAGGCAAGAATTCCTGTCTGTGCCCCCCCCCCCAGAACCTCCCGTAGCTAACATCACTGGTGAGATGTTCGGAGTAACAATACCGACTTCTCCAAGTTGAAACTTCTTGCTGATTAACTAGCCCTAGTAAGTGGGCTCATCAATCCCAAACCGCTATTTTCGCACAATATACAACGTGGAGCGGCCCCTGCGGGTTGTTTAGGTGTTATCGCAAACTTCAATCCTTTTCGAAGAATTGTTTCCTCACAGTCGTCAACGTGCATGTAGACAAGTTGATTATCATTTATCCTCCGGTGTTGCTTTTTGGTTGATCGAATGTTTCTTTAACTTGTCTAGTTTCTTTTGATCTTTAACTTTGTGCTTGTTTTTGGTCGCCTTACACTTGGACTGGATTTTTCTGAAAATAGGCTTGTAGTCTTTTTCCATCAGTTCCTTAATTTTCTACGTTTCTATCGACAGTATGATCTTACCAAACGAACAAGCACAGTTGATGATGCTCTTATAGCTCGTACTTTATATTATAAGCAACTGTTACTCCGATCTCTAGTTTTCTTGGGAATATCATAAACATAATAACATTTTGTTCTAACTTGTTTTCAGAAAATGGAGAAGAAAACAGCTTCAACGTCACATTCCCAATCGTTTAGTTCAACCAACCAGAAAAGAAAACAATTAAAGAAGACAAAAACTCTACCAATTATAAAACAAACAAAAACTAGTATGATTCGTATGGTAAAAGCAAATCCATTACTTCTTTTACACGACAAAAGTAAGGACGAAAAAAATAAATTGACAGGCATACAAGTACCAAAATCTTTTGATTTTCAAAGAACCGAAGAATTTTTTAAGGTCACGTATGGATTATTCCAAAAAATGATGCCAATGAAAAGTACATCTTTAACCAATTTAAAAGGAAAATCAAGTAGTGTTGCGTCAATAGACAAACTTCCTGAAAATCCAAACCCAGCCAATAATAAAAAAGAAGGAAAGAATGCCAAAATGTTAAAACCAAACAAGGAAATAGTGAAATATTACAAAAGTAATAATAATAACAACACGGACAATTCGAAAAATAAACGAAACTTAAAAGAAAATGTTAATAGTAAACAAATTCAAAAAGGATCAAAACCTTTTAGAAAAGAACACAAAAATACAATTAAGAAAACCACATCTCAAGATAAATGTTTACCCATTGACAAATTTGATACCAAATTCATGCTATTTTCTGTTACCGACATTCCTTTATCTTCAGACTGCTCAAACTTCTCTCCTATCCCTAAAGATACAAACATAAAAGCACCTGATAGAGCCAGATGTGTATTCTTTTCAACTCCAATGCTTCCAAAAAGACAGTGATTTTAGTGTGGTGATAAGGGTAGTGAATCTAAATTAAAAATTAATTGGAGAGTAAGTACAGTAAGCAATAAAAGTGACTCTTGAGTAGCAGGAAGAAGAGTATTTTAATAGTTTAGATTAGGAAGCTCAGGTTATATTAGTTGTAACGTACTGATAAAGTAAAAGTCATTTTGAAAGATAGTTTTTATTGACTCCATAATTGACAAAAATTTGGAGAAATGCCTATGCCTGAGATACCGGCACATAGCTTAAGAGACTTCTAGACAAAGATAATGTAACATTTCACTGTGGGTCATCATCATAGCTTGCTTACCTTTTGTTAATTAAAAAATGATTTAAAAAGTAATCAATCAATAAAACTATGGTGGTGACAAAAACAGTTAAATGGATAAAAGATGGCGTTCGGTTGAAAACTGTTAAAAAAAATAAATGAATAAAAATACAAATTTTATTAGAAAAGACTTAAAAGCATTCTTTGCTTGTTGAAGCACAAATGCCTTTTCAGGCTTTAATTTATCGTTATTTTCTTATGTAGAATTACTAATATTAAGTATAATAATTTATTAAACAAATCTGTAATTACTCACTGTCTTTTTTCTGAATATACATTCATATATCGATATACTTACAACAATACATTGTTTATTAATCTCTAATTAAAAAGAAGAGAATTAAGTGTAATAGTAAGAGTCTTACGTTGTCTCTTTTTACATTAGCATTAATGTGATTTCCTTTACTTACGTTGTTGCTAGATATTCCCACTATTTTTGACATTGTACAATTTCTTCATGAATAACGCTTTGTTGATTGATTCTCTTAAAAAATTACTCAAATTAATTAAAATTTATATTTATTTTAATAAAAATCAGTTCAGATCATTAATTAAACTGTACAAATCATTAAGAGTATCTTAAGAAATCGTCATGAAATATTAACCGATCTGTTTTATTTTGGGATTCTATGATCATCATTAAGTATAATCTTCGGATTTAAGATTTTAGTGTTTTCTTTATTTTCTATGTCAATTTGTTTTACAAACGTTTCAAATGATGTCGTCCACGTTCTTAAGCCATTCATTCAGTTTTCTTAATCGTACTAGAGGTTTTTCATCTATAGCCAGAGGAGTCGATAAAAATATACGATTAATAAGACTGTNTAAGTAAATTTAGATAGGTATGATTAATCATAAGTTACATACTAATATTTTTTTAAAAACTATTAATATGTTTCTTTTCTATTTCACAGATGCTGCTAGATTAAATCAAGCAACATCCAGTTGTTCAAGCAAGAATCTAGAAGAAGCGATAAAAAATTGCGAAGAGCAAAAGAACGGTTAATCACCAAAAGTAAACGAAATTCCTTATTGTAATATTAGTACCTTGTATTTATCCATAACATGTTCAAATAAGTATTTTTTTATTTGTATGTAATAAACTAAGATAGAGATTTATATGCGTTTGTATAAAGACAGCCTATTCCATCAAAAAGTAGGATAGCAAACAATACAATATATATGTATCTTTCCTAAAATGTCCTGTAAATATCCCGTCCGTATGTTTTTCAAATGTCCTTTGTGTATATTTTATGAATGTATGAAACTGTGACATTCGTCTATCCATACAACATCCTGAAGACGTCCGCCGAACATGAAACGGATCTGGTATAAGATATCCTTAAAATCTTAGATGGATGTTCTTTTAAAATCCTAAGGATAAAAATGTGCTGTATGGGTAATGTCGCCATCTTAGATTTCAAATACTACACGTTTGCAACAACATTTCATCCTTAAGGGTTGATTTTTAAAAATTGCCAAAACACGTATTTGCTTAATTACAACAATGAGCAACCTTCGAGTAAATCCGAGTACAAATACAATATACCCCATTGAAACGTACCAACCTCTGTTCATTTGATTAATAATATCAAACAGCATATGTAGTTAGTTTTAAGTAAATTCAATCACAAATGAAGTATGTCCCAAACAAAAATTGCAACACCCTTTTACCCATCCCCCTCTTTGGAGGTTGAATTTCTTTAAATGTCCAGATAGGTCTTTATTTAATATATATATTTATAGAAATTAAATGAGACCATTAAAACCAAGTTTCAAGTAAATCTG